TTAATTTTCGAACCAAACACGAGAAGATCCGGCCCAAGCCTTCGGCCCATTTTTCCAGGCTGACCCGCTAGCCCAAATCGGCCCAAGTCTGTTTCACCCACATCTCATGCGTGTGAATTATTCTTGAGGAGCAAGAATAAGTTAAACCTATTTTTGTGAGTATATATATATATACCATGTGTATCTATTCTTTTCTCGCAATCAAATTCATTCCGCAGCCCTCCTTCCTCGTTCAATTCAGAGTCGATCTCTCGTCTCTCTCTCGTGAATCTTCAGCAAATCTTCTTCCCCTCGCAAATCTCCCGTCGTTCACCCCCCTTCCCTCGCGCAGCGACTTCTTACAGCGAGCAATTCATCTTCCTCGCCGAACCAGACGCGAGCCACCATCGTCCTCCTTCCATCATCGCGTTCAGTCCCCGTCAACTCGTCATCCTCGCTCTGTTCATTAGGCGTCTTCAACGCCGGTGCCCAGCAACCCTGCAAACCACCTCCGGCGACCCTGTTTCGAGAAGTCCCGGCGAGCCTCGCCCATCCCGCGAGCTGTCGTGAATCCATTCCGACGACCTGCTCACCGCCGCGCCGCGACCAGCACCACCGCCGCGCCGCGACACCCCCGCTGGAACTCCACCACGCCGTGGCAGCTTCTTATCCGATGAGTCGCACCTCTGTTCGTGGGATTTTTCCGGCGAAGTTCGACTTTCTCGTGACGCAGCTTATCCCAGTGACCTCGACAGCGAGCTTCTAGCCGTGACCTTCGCGAGCCCTTCTCCCACGATTTGCGATCAGCAACAACCGGCGAGTTCCTCCACTCGCGTACAGCCCCGCACGTCACGAGTTTTTCTGGTGACCTACTTCTCCACGAAGCTTTTCCGGCAAGTCTCCTCCTCTGCAGCAGCACATCCGACGGGACGCCTCGGCCGTCGCAGCAACTCCGTAATCGTGAGGGACCACTGCAGCTCTTCCCTCGGTGAGCCGCGCATAGCCGTCGAGCCCCGTCGAGCCGTCTTCTCTCGTTCGAACCTTCTCGCTCGTTTCTCGAGAACGGTACCTCGTCGTTTTTCCATCTCATTTAATTCATATATGTTTCGTTGAATTGTTCATGTTCGTAAAGTGCTCGTGTTATATGATGTGATTTATTAAGTGAATATGTACAAATATATGAATTGTTGTGATTGTATGTGTTCGTATGTTCGGGATCTCTTCGATTTTCTCGAAAATCGAACGAGACCTCGAAAGTCGTGTAAGTCGGTGGATAATGGAACAATGTCGAGTCCTTGGTCTTATGAAAAGGCCTCGGACGATAAATTGTGTGTTGTGATTTAATTGTCAAGTTGTCGAGATCGTTAATCGCTGTTTTGATGTTCGAATTTTTAAAAATAGCTCGCTGCTCGAAACGATGTGAAATTTTGAGGGATGTGTTATCTGTTCATTTCCTGCCTTGTGTAAAATTTTCGTAATTTTTGGAGGCCTGTAGCTATTTTTAATAATTAAATTGTAATCTGTCCAGAATATTGCTAAACGCTTAAAAAATTCATTCCTGACTGAAATGAGCTGAAATTCGAGTATGTCATTCCTCTGTGACCTATATGTGTTGTGTTAAATTTTTAGAATTTTTGGGGTTGATTTGATGTCGTAAATATTTTATTTATCGAATCTGGAGAAATGTTGTTTGAATTTTTAAAAATCGGTTACTGCATGGAAAATTCTGAAATTTTACTGAGAGTCATATTTTAGGTGTTTGACCATGTTTGTAAAATATGGGAATTTTTAGAGTCCGGTTGGTTTCAGGTTGGATTTAGATTCTATAAACTGCTGTTGCTCGTTTGAATTTTTAAAAATAGCAGCAGTTATCATTTAAGGCTGAAATTTTTATAAGTGGACTTTGGTATACTGAATGTTGCTATGTAAAATTTTCAGGTTCAAATTCGTTCATTAAGTCTGAGTATGGATTAATGTGCCCTTTTTGCTGAATTACTTTTTGAATTTTATAAAATAGGGTATTTTGAGTTTAAAGCTGAAACTTTGTGATTTTACATGTTTCTAGGAGATGAAATTTTGTATAATTTTTCAGAGCTTAATTCGTAGGGTATCTTGACCATCGATTTTTCATGCGATTAAATGATTTCGATTTTCGAGCATAATTGTTGTATGGAATTTGGATTGACTTGCTTTTTGGTTGTTATGTGAGTTTGACTTGGTAAAACCTTGGATAGATTTTTGTGAACTCCCTTAAGTGGTTTGGTTGAGTTTAGTGCCGGGTCTTAGTGTTCCATATCCACAGGACTTCACGAACTACTTAGTCGAAACGTGTTCGACTAGGTCTGTCTTGTGATTTCCGATTTAAGTCGAGATAGATTCTGATAGTAGTATCTGGACTTAATGTAGGTGTCGAGAGGTGTTGAACCTCGCCTCGTCTCGAGATTTGTGATTTGAACTGTAGCTGCTATCAGGTGGGTACATTTATGATGTATTCCATATTTATCGCATTTATTATTTCGTGTAATGTTTCTTTTGAAAATTATTGTATGCATGAGAACTCTAGTCTAAGTGTCCCAAACGATAGTGCCTTTGATGAATGCGAAAGCAGTGGAAGTCGCCTGCCCGTTGTATCCGGGAGGTGGACGCCCGAATCCGTGGAGAGCGGAGGGGATTGTCTGATTTACTCGAATCCGTGTAGAGCGGAGGGGTAATTCAACTTCACTGTCTCCTGGAAAGGATCCCATGGACCGTCGTATCCGGGGGTGGGAAGGTTTCCAGTTACAGCCATGCCGTCGTATCCGGAAGGTTGTTGTATGTACATAGGAGGTTTGCGATAGGGCCGGGTAGGGGGTTTAGGCTATGAATTCTATGCATACGGATATTGATATTGGTTTATTATGAAACTGCTTTCTAAATAATTATACGAGATAACCGTGCGATAATGGTGAGCTAGTTGGTTGCTCACCCCCATTATTTTCTTTGTTGTTTTCCTCTCTTCCTTTGTTTTAGGTTGAGACGAGCTGGAGGCGGTGGCGTAGGACGAGCGAGATGGTGGTCACTGTTTGATGATATATTATGCTTCCGCCTGTTTATGATTTGTTGAACTGAAACTTGACTTGAATTATTTTCTCGCTTGGGTTTGGATATTTTATTATGTGTTTATCTCCCTGCTTGATTTCGTATACTGATTATGTGTTGCGCATAAACTTGTTACTTAATTATTTGCTTTCATACTTTGGATTATTTATTTATTTGCCTTCGAACTATGTTTGAGTTTTCGTTTGAACTTTGAATAATGCTAGACCTTTTGGAAATGGTTTGAGACTTATGTTTTTGGGATTTGTTTTATTGTTAGCTCGAGCATGTGTAGTTCCCTTGATTGAGTGTGTTTATTTGTTGTGGTTAATAAGTAGCGCCCGTTTCTCGATAAATGTTTTAACTTGGATTTCAAAAAAAAAAAAATAATATAACTCTGATTTTTATTAAATAAATTCGGTAAATTCTTTAAAATAAAACGGGGCGTTACAACATTGCAATCTGATGACTCTTTTACTGCTCTTTTAGTTTATGTTGATGACATCATTGTCACCGGCAATAACTTAGAGCATATTAGCAAAATTAAAAGTCATCTTGATGCATGTTTTACAATTAAGGATCTTGGTCAACTAAAGTACATTTTGGGACTTGAGTTTGCTTATTCAAAACAAGGAATCAATATGTGTCAAAGAAAGTATGCCTTAGACATACTCACAGACACTGGTTTCTTAGGTTCCAAACCAGCAAACACACCAATGGATTCCAACTCTAAACTGTCTGCATTTATTGATGGTGATGAACTTACTGATGCTACTGCATATAGAAAGCTAGTTGGCAGGCTTTTATATCTTACCATTTCTAGACCTGATATAGCATATAGTGTGCAAACTTTGAGCCAGTTCATGTCCAAGCCCCCCACTCATCATTTGACAGCTCTACATCGAATACTCAGGTACATTAAAGGTACAACAGGTAATGGTTTATTATTTTCCAGAAATTCTCCTTTAATTTTACAAGCATATAGTGATAGTGATTAGGCTTCTTGTGTTGACACGAGGAAGAGTATCAATAATTTTTCTATTTTTCTTGGTCACTCTCTTATATCCTGGAAGTCCAAAAAGCAACCAACCATTAGTCGATCATCAGCCGAAGCTGAATATAGAGCATTAGCTTCGACTGCATGTGAAATCCAATGGTTGTTATACCTTTTTGCTGACTTTCAGCTTTCTCATAGCTCTCCAGTATGTTTGTTTTCTGACAGCAAATCAGCTATGGCAATTGCAACTAATCCCGTATTCCATGAACGCACAAAGCACATCCAGATCGATTGTCACTTAGTCCGGGAGAAGATTGCACAAAAGCTAATCAAGTTAGAGTACATACCCACCAAAGAGCAAACCTCAGACATAATCACAAAGCCTCTACCTGCTCCTGCTTTCTCCTACTTACTCTCCAAGCTTAATATGCATAATATCCATGTTAAGCTTGCGAGGAGGTATTAGTGATATAGTATTATATGTATAAATCGTTATTTAGCATTGTAAATTTTTATTTTACATTAGCTTTATTAGTGTTCTTAACCCTAAGTATAAAAGGGTGTTGTAACCTAATTATTCACTCACTCGTTCATTTGGTAATATACTAAGTAATCTTTCATCTTCTTCCTCTCGTGTTTCTCTCTCTCTCTCTCTCATAAATTGATAATTGTAGAAGGAGCGGGGGCGGTTAGGGGATTAGAGAGGGGGAAAGGTTTTCGCATAGGCTTTGCGATCTTGTGGGAATCTCTGTTGACTTGTTTGATCAACATATTGGAATTGCTATTATTAGCTATTGAAGCTGATGAAGATGAAGAAATGGAACAAGACTCCTCGCCCAACCCTTTATCCATCTTCACACACAAACGCGCACACTATCTCTCTCCCTCTCTATTATTAATTTATACACTACCGTTTATCTCTCTATCTACCCTGTCCTCTCTCTAGACAATGAAGGATAGAGTAGTCGAAGGACACTGGGACTGTAATACTTTGGGATTTAGGTGTTGGGAATGGGCCGTCTGTTTTGGTCGTCACTGCTGCAGATTTGTACCGTGTGCTGTGCGCGAGGTACCCTCTCGAGTCATTGGCCGTCGTACTCGTCAGTTGTCACCAAGGATAGCATACGAGAAACAAAACGAAAGGTCTTCTTTTTTTTTCACTTTTTTTTTACAATATATCTAAGCTTTTTTGGGCATTTGTGTCACCCCATTTTCTTTTATGTACTAGGAATCTCCGGTTGTACCCAGCCAAAACATTTATGTTTGAAAATGATATTCTCCAAATTTTAAATAAATAAATTTAAAATTGCATCAAAAGACTATCGAGAAAGAACTTATGCTCACAAACGTACTTAAATACATTGATAAAATTAATAAATTATGCGACCTTATCTTGCTGATTTAAAAAAAAGGCTGTTTTTTTTTTTAAAAGCGGTTGTAGTCTTCTTGATCTATAGGGCGAGGCTCCCCGCAATGGGAGGAAAGGGGAGTGGGTAAGCGGACCCCTTTCCACTTGAGTTTTGAAGAGATCGTTGTAACTTAGTGCAAAAGTGAAATGGTAAGAGAGGTTTAAAGGAACGAGACTGACGAAGCGAAGTCAGCAAATTGATCCAAAGCAAGACTATTAAAACACAACTTTAAGTTTTCAAAATCAAGATTATTGTTCAAACATTATTTACGTCATGACCAATTTGTCGTAAAATTCACCACGCTTATTAATTGGTTTACAAACTATTAAAGTATTTATGTTTGAAGGTGATACTCTCAAATTTTAAGTGGTTTTTAGGGAGCCAATTGCGATTTTCTACTCACAAGCGCATCTAAAAACATTGATAAAATAAACAAATTATACGGCAAAAATTTGAACCAATGTAGGACAGTTAAAACACGACTTCTAGTTTTCAAAATCAAAGATAATTGATCAAACATTATTTTTGTGATGACCAATTTATCGTAAAACATTAGTTTGACTACAATGAGCCGCCAATTATCTCAATTTTCAGTTTGCATGGGCTCTCGACGTATTTTGTAATGGATAATTTCTTTTTTTTAGATATTTGCCCAACTGTTTTAAAATTTTATAAAAACATCTCATCTTTGAGAAACAATGACTTACAACAATTTCCTCTTAAAACTAATACGTTTTTAGAATGAAATTATGATGGGTATTTTTTTAACAATAAACACAATTCATTTTTTTAAAATAATAAATGGTGTAGGTGAGAACATGTGGCACCAAAAAAATTTTCAGCTTTTTTTTTCTTTTTTGTGGTGGGATCCACGGTTGTAAATTTGGTCTAAAAAACATTTGCCCAAGACAAATCAATTATATGACTGGGCTAGTGGGCTTCTTAGATAATTTATGTAAGCCAAAGGAAAAAAAAAATACTATTTGTTTTGCTTGTGTAATTAGTTTGACCACAAGGCCAATTATGTCAATTTTCAGCATGTATGAGCTCCCGACCTAGTTTGAAATAGATAATTTTTTTATGAGATATTTGCCCGATTGTGTTAAAATTTTATAACAACATGTCATCATTGAGAAACAATGAATTACAACAATTTCCTCTTAAAGCTAATACTTTAAGATGTGCCACACAAAAAATTTTTAGTTTTTTTTTAGTGGTGGGCCGCATGCCTGCAAATATGGTATAAAGTACATTTGCCCAAGGCATATCACCTTCTTCCAATTCAAACGGGTCTGCTCGTTTTTTGCTGAAAGTTCTGTATCTAATCACGCTTTAAAATTTCGCATAACATCAGGCAAAAGATAAAAATAAAAGTTCTGTTTGAAGGAGATACTTCATATTTTAAAACAAATAGATCAAAAATTGCATAAAACGATTATTGAAACAGAACTTATACTCATAAACGCACCTAAAAAAATTGATCAAATAAACAAATTATAAGGAAAAAAATTGAACCCGCGCAAGATTGTTTAAACACGACTTTTAGTTTTCAAATTCAAAGATAATTGATTAAATATTATTTATGTGATGACCAATTTGTTGTAAAATTGGTCACGCTTATTAATTGGTTTAAAAACTATTTGTTTTGCCTGTGTAATTAGTTTAACAAGGGGTGTCAATTATCTCAAGGGGCGTCAATTAATTGGTTTAAACTAATTGTTTTGCCTATTTGTTTTGCCTATGTAATTAGTTTAACAAGGGGCGTCAATTATCTATTTAATAATAGATAACTTTTTCATGAGATATTTACCCAGTTGTGTTAAAATTTTATAATTTCTCATCATTGAGAAACAATGACTTACAACAGTTTCCCTTTATAGCAGATACGTTTTGGGGATGAAATCAAGATGAGTGTTTTTGTAACAATAAATACAATTAATTTTATTTATAATAGATAGACTTAAATGGTGTAGAGGAGAAACGTGGGTGTAGAGGAGAAAATGTGCCACCAATTTTTTTCTCAGTTTTTTTACTAGTGGAGCCCACGCATGCAGATATAGTCGAAAAAAAATTTCCCAAGATAGATCAACCTTTTTCAATTCAATCAGGTATACTCGTTTTTTGTGAAAATTTCTATATGCAATCACACCCTATAATTTTTCATAGTCATAAGGAAAAAATTAAAATAAAAAGTCTAAGAGCAATTTTACTCTACGATACACCTCACTTCAAATTTGTGTGATAAATATTCTATAATTTACGTTACATTTTTGCATGATAATGTAAATAATAATGCACTAATATAGTACTTAATTGTTTTTTCTGCACTTTAATTTTTTCTCAAATTTTATTTTCTTTCTAATTAATTTTTATTTTTATTTATTATTTTGATAAAATATACACTAATCAATGTGTTTATTTTGTTAAATAAGTTAAAATTTTGAATTTATAGTTTTGCTTAAATTTTATTATATAACTATATATTTTGTTATGTATAATAAAATTAAATTTAGTAAAATAAATTCAAAGGAAATAAAACTTAGAGTAAATAAAATAAAAAACATGGGCCTTGGAGTAAATAAAAAGGAGGATTAGAAAAGTGGTCTGTCTCTAATCTCTATGCAGTCTCGTAACCACATTGTCCACTTAAACATGAAACACAATTTCACCAAGGATTTCAGGCTCACCACGTGGCAAGAGACTGTCATCTCCCGTTTATTAAGATGTAGAGGGATATACTTCCTCCGATTTTTTTTATTAATTGTCCTTTAAGTGTACATTTTTTTTTTTTTTTTGTTTACTAGTGAGAATCTCGTGCGATACACGGGGGTTTCGTATCTTAGAACATTTTTTTAAACTTCTTTTTAACAATATATTAGCTCGTTGCCCATTTATATTAATATAAATAATATTGTAACACATATATTTATTGTTTAATACATAAAAAACAATAATTTTACATATTTTTGTTCATTAAAAAGGAGATTTTACAAAGCCGATTGCAATTATAAAATGATTTGGATATCAACATACAATTTATAATGGAGTTTTTAAAATTGTGTACAATTAACATATAATATATATCATTAAATAATTTTTTTCAAATGCACGAGACTGAGATTTTGAAAAACTATTTAGGGCTTGATTGTTTATGAATTATTTCATTCTCATTTGTTTCATACTCAAAATCTAACTCAATTTTAACTCAACCTCACTATCTTTAATATTATTCATATAATTAAATAATACAAACCAATCATTCTTACACATCACATCAACTTTAATTCACTATTCATCCACTCACATAATTTTAACTATCAATCATATCCAATCATTTATCTCCTACTTTTACATCAAATCAATTTTAATCATTTTATTTTAAATATTATTAATACATTCTTAAAATTTCACTAACAACTAACCATATCACATTTTTTAAAATTAACTATGGTTAACCAAAATAATTTATTTTGGACAAATTATTTCATAAACAATCACCCCCTTACCTTTTGAAATCGAGTTTAAAAAAAAAAACAATAGATGGGTAAACAAAGAATTGATAAACATTACCAAGTTTATTATCATGCATTCAAAATAAATAAATTGTCATAATTTGTGGAAGATGATAATAATATTAAAGAATAGTTTTAGCGGTCAGTATATTATTTTGAAAGGTACAAATATAAAGATCGAGATTCGAAAACTTTTGTTACCTTCCGAATTGAGATTTATTAAATATAGAGACTGAGATTTTAATGTTGTTCGTTGATTCTAAGAAAAAAATAAAAATAAAAACATGCATGCTTAATAGATCTTAGCCAGAATTTTTTAAATAATGAAATGAACTAAAACCAGAAATTTAAGGCAACATTTAATGTTGTATGATTTTTCTAAGAAAAAGTAAGAAAAATAATAAAAATTACTGTTTATGGACTGCATTAAATTCTGACCTATTTTTTTGTTATTAATTTTGGTAAATAGTTATTCGTATTATATATAAATGTATATATATAGGGTCGCGCTACGGTGAGAATGATGCTTAGTGAAAGAAATAAGAATAAATTGTAACCATTAGATTAGATGATCTAGTGGCTAAAAAAAAGCTCAAATAATACATTCAGTAAGGGTAATATAGTAAATGTTTACACCCAAACAGTGGGGTCCACACCAGGGGTGAAATCAAAAAATTAGTTGAGAAGGGGTAAAAGATATGACGTAATTTGTAAAAGATAACAAAAATACATAAAACAATTTACCTTATGATTACAATTGTTGGCCTTGTGAGTAGAGCTGTAAACGAACCGAACCTTCGCGAACAAAAGCTCGTTCGTGTTCGACAAAAGCTCGTTCGTTTGTTAATCAAGCCAAGTTCGAACAGAAAATTAGGCTCGTTTAATAATCAAACGAACACGAGCTCGTTCGTGAACGTTCGATTATGTTCGCGAACATTAATTTAATATAAGTTTATTTTATTTTGTATATATTTACATAATATTTTTAATAAAAAATCTAAAATATATTAGTATTTTTATTTTATTCTTTTATTTTTGAGTTCGAACGGACAAATTTCGAGTTAATCAAACATATTTAAAAAATTATGTATTCGAGTTAATCAAACATATTTAAAAAATTTATGTATTATATTATTCAAACACGAACGAATTCGAACCTTGACGAACAATTAAACGAACAAACTCGAACACGATTTTTTGCTCGAAAAATAAACAAACGAACACGAACACTATTCGAACGTAAACGAACACGAGCTCTAACAGCCCAAGATCAGTTCGGTTCAGTTCGTTTACAGCACTACTTGTGAGTGACGTTTAAAAAGAAAAATCTGGGGGTGCAAAAACTAATTTAAGAGGAGAACAAATTAAATATTTTAACTATGATAGTAAAAAAAATTAAAATTTGAGAGGGATCAATTGCCCCCCTATTGATTAATGTAAGTGCGCCCCTGGTCCACACACCACACACCACACACCCATCTCTCATGCATGGAGCCCACCCAAATCACCCAACCCATTTCTCTCTCCTCCCCAATTGCAGAACCGATGTTGCGTCTTCTTCTCATGTCCAACCACCATGCCTGCGTCTTCTTCCAATGTCCAACCACCACTGTCGGTCGCCGTCGACTGCCGCCACCGCCGCTAATCTCACCGACACTAAACTCACTCGACCAGAGGAGGCATCGCGATGTGGAGCCGTACCAAGAACTCGACGACCGTACCAGGAGGCCTGCACACTTCCGCTGCCGTGCCTACCAGATCCGCCATCCCCACCGCCGTCTCCGCCTTCAAGCTCGACCTGCGAGCTTCATCGAGCCTTATTGGCCTTCAAGCTCGACCTTCGAGCTTTAATGGAAGATATTAAAAAAAAAATACATATCCACCGGCAATGGTTTGAGCGTCCAGGAGAGGTCACCGGCGGGAGGACAGCGCCTGGGTAAACGCCGCCGGAGGGAGGTCCGTCGTCGGTTCTGTTGGTGAACGGAAAAATAAATTTGGGGTGGAGGACTTGGGTTTGAAAATTTGATAAGATACAAGGACTAATTTGTAATTTTTATAGTTTTAGTTAATTTCAATTAAACCCCTGGCATCAATGTGTAAATTCAAAAAAGTTAACTTTATTTTGATTCAGTCCCCGGGTCAAATCTGTAATTTATATAAAATATATAAAAACACATTATTTTACATATATTTTTTTGTAAGACATATATATATATATATATATATTATTTATATGTGTGTGTTATTATAAACCAAAAAATAATATAAAATAGTATATAAAATATTAATATTATTATATAAATAATAAAATATATTATCTATTTGTACATTTTAATATGCATAAATAATAAATAAAAATAAAAATAATATAAAAATAAGAATAAATGTGTGAGTATGACAGACCGCACATTATCAACTGAAACACTGCACATTAGTGTTATACATATTGCACATTAATGTGTGTCAAATCGCACGTTAACTATCAAAACTGAAATAGCTATGATTTTTCTGTCTGAATTTATATATTTCAATTACTTTTAAAATTTAATATATTTTGACTTTGATAATTTCAACTGAAATAAAGTTATTTCGATAATTTTAAAATTTATATATTTTGATTATTCCCATCAAAATTGAAAGAGTCGAGCTATATGAGAAATGTTATTATTATGATCTATATATTTTTATATGTATTGCGAATGCACATTATAGTTATATGGGTTGCACACTCACGACTATATGACTGCACAATATTAAAAATCATCCAACTAAAATATTCAAAGTTCATATTTCGATTCAGTTTTTACTTTTATTAACTTTCTACTTATAAAAACTTAGTAATGCACTTTATAAATCATCACGTTGCACTTTATAAAACAACAGGCCGCACTTTATAAAATAACAAGATGCACTTTATCACGGCACTCCGCAATTCACGTCGATAACTTCCGCCAAAACACCACACAACATAAATCGAAAACATAGATCTACATAATATTTTAATATCTATCACATCATTTGTCCACAATAAAACACAATCGTGATGACGTACCAAAATTATAGTAATTTGATTTATCGAAAAAAGAATCCAAATTGCATATGGTAATCTGATTTTTTTATTAATTTTTTAATGTGTATATATACACACTCTATTGTGCAAGTTATTTATAGTTATTGTGCAATGCATTGTACATAATTGTATAATTGTTTAATTTTTAATAAATTACATATTTAATCGATCATTTAACATTTTTTTTTTCAGAACGATAGATGTCATTATAAACTAAAACGAGAACAATGTTCCAATACAAGGGGAAAATTCCCAATCGAGACCTGAAAAGAAAATGAGAGACACATCTACAAGATGGCCTAGAACCTCAAACAATACAAACTAAACCAATACTAGGGAATAGAAGGTCCTAACCACTGCCACAAGGCCTAGTAGTATCTCCTATCCCAAATAACAAAAGGAACCCAATAGAAATAAAATCATCAGAACCAAACTAAACAAAGTACAAACAGCTACATTACAAACTAACACAAACTTCACAGCTATCTAATGTTACAGAACTCCTTCCAATCCTTAAAAGCTGTCTTGATCACCATATGAACAGGTAGGAGAGATTTTTGAAAAATCCAATGGTTTCAGGTCTTCCACATCCACCAAAGTAAATAAGTAGTAAGTTGTATTCTGTTGGTGGAAGTTTCAGATTTTGGTATAGAACACACCTGATGCCACCAGTGTTTGAAGGAGATATTGTGAATAGGAAGTCCATCCCAAGACACTGGTGCATGGTTCCATATTTGACAGGCTCTTTTACACTTCAGTAACAGGTGCTCAATGGTTTCTTGCTCCTCTCCACAACAGCTGCAGCATAAGTCCACTTCCAGTCCCTTCATATGCAGGTTTGCCATCACTGGTAATGTACCATTGATACATTTCCATAGAAACAGCTTGATTTTTTCTGGAATTTTTAAGGACCAGCTTCTTTTGAGAGTTTTCTTCATTAACTGAGCTGATGAGCTGCTCTCTGGTTGGTCGAGTAAGTGAATTTTTTGCTGAGCCAGATATTTGTAAGTGCTAGTAACTGAGAAGATGCCTTTACTATCCAAACCCCAGAAAATTCTGTCTTTCTCATTCACCTTCACAGTTTTGATAGCCAATATAGCAGCACTGTCTTCTTCTGAAAATAACTGTTTCACAAGCCATTGATTCCAACCACTACCATCTTCAAGCATTAGGTCTTTAACAAGAGTGAGATGATCCCTGGCAATTGGCAGCATTTCAGGTTTTGCTTTTGGAAGATGGGGGACCCAGTTGTGATCATCAATCCTTGTATCTGCTCCACCTCTGATTTCAGTTCTCAGCCACTTGGAAAAGATGGGAAGAGTATCCATTTAACATTAGCTATACTAATATTATGAACATGTAATATGCATATCCATACACATATTATTCATTTTTTTTAACAAATATTTTACATTTATTTGAGTTTGAAATAAAAATTTATATTTATCCCATTAATTAAATTACATTATATCTAAAGTTTTATAAATTGCACTTTTGTCCCTAAAAAATACCTAATTCTCACTAGATCACCCCTATCCCTAAAAATCCCTAAAATGCCTAAATCTGACGCTGCCTCGCACACAGTGCCCAATCTTCAGCCCAATCGACTCTTCCTATGGCCAGAAGCAATCGAATTCGCAGCCCGACCATGTCTGTGGAATTTGCACAACAGTACAGTGTCGCCGGAGGCGATGTAGAATCGCACATGGCCATCGACGGCGAAGTGCTCTCATGTCTGTGGTTGTTCGATCGCGGACATGGCAGACCTGGTCAGGGGTGAAGTAGTTCCGGGCTATGGCGTTGGTGGCTAGACCGACTGCGGCAGTTCGGTGTTGGCGGACGAAATCTGAAAGGCTGCAAAGGGTGTTGTCCGGCGGTGTCTGAAGCGGTGTGCGTACAGCAGGTGGTGGTGGTGTTCATCGGGCAGGCGGCATGCAGCGGGCGTCGGGCGGCTGACGGCGGACGGTGGATGGCGGACTGTGTTTGCACGATGTGAGGAGTGTGTGTAAGTGTGTGTGAGAGAGAGAAAGTTAATGGGTTTGTTGGGTGGATGGGTAGGTGATTGTCGGGGTAAGTGATTGGGTTTAATGTTGGAGGTGGTGGGACCACATGTTTATGTGTGTTAACCAAATGTCTAAATTACCCTTGGTCAAATCTATATATTTGACCATCATATGTCTACGTTTTTACTATATTGTCATTAATGATTGACCAATATTTGACTTAATCCTAGTCATTGACATGATATATCCATTGATCCAGATTTATTCTCATTTCTTTCACTATCTACCATTCTCATATGATCCCAACTCTCTGTATATATATAGGGGGCGGATCAAATGGGACCAGCTCTTAAAATGGGACCAGCTCTTAAAATGAGACCAGCTTTTAGCAACTACAGACAACTAACCTAGCAACTACAGAGAACTAACCTAGCAACTACAGACAACTAACCTAGCTACTACTAACCTAGCAACTACTAACATAGCAACTACATAGAACTAACCTAGCAACTACAGAGAACTAACCTGGCAGCAAGAAAGAAATAACCTAGCAACAAAAAGATAACTAACCTAGCAGCAAGAAAAAAATAACCTAGCAACTTAAGACAACTAACCTAGCAACAAAACTCAACTAACCTAGCAGCTACAAATAACTAACCTAGCAACAACAAACAAATCAGCAAACAAAAAAAAACCTAGCAACAACAAACAACTAACTTAGCAACAAAACACCACGCCACCGCACCGATACAGGGTGGCCCCCCCTCCGCCTGTCCGGTCCCCTCGGCCCAGAGCTGTTGTTTGGCTTCGACCAGACTCTCCTTGGGTCAAGCTGAACACCGATGGATCTTTCGATCGCCATAGCGGTACTGCCGGAGGAGGAGGCTTGATCCGGGACCACAGTGGAGCCCTTATCACCGTCTTCCACACGTCCTTTCAGGCCTCCTCGAGCTACGATGTAGAGATTCAGGCATTACAGATTGGCCTTCAGATTGCTGCCGACCTCTCTAGTCATATTTGGATTGAGTTGGACGCTGCGGCTGTCGTGACCCTCCTGTCCTCGGGTCATCAGGGCTCGTGGCAGATTCAGCACCCGCTTATGCGCATTAGAGATCTACTTCGGTCTGTCCATTACAGGATCACACACATCTTCCGTGAGGGGAACAGACCTATTGATTACCTTGTCAGCCTTGGCGCTACCATACCAGACACGCACACGTATCAGACCTACACTGCTCCACTCCGCCTTCGCACGCTAGTTCAGATGGATCAGCTGGGATATCCATCGTTTCGATTCCAGTAGATTAGGTTTTTGGTTTTTGCTTTTCTTAGACCATCCACTTATTCCGGGCACCTGTTAGCCCGATGACAGACCTTTTACTATTTTCATTTGCTGTTCTCATTACTGTACTGTGTGGATTGTGAGACTATGTTGAGTGTTTTGGCCCATTTTAGGGCTATGATCTATATACAGGTTGGGGATCCAGCATAATCCCCCGCCCCTCGGGGCGTTGTTTTTTTTTTAAAAAAAAAAACCTAGCAACAAAACACAACTAACCTAGCAAGAAAGAAATAACATAACAACAAAAGACAAATGGTCAACGGTCAACGACAAAAGTCAACGGTCAATGCTGGAAGTCAACGGTCAACGCCGGAGTCAACGGTCAATGGTCATAATAATATTTAAATAATTAAAAATAAAGAATTAAATAATAAAAATAAAGAATTATTATTTAAATCAAGATCTAAATCTTGTGGCTATGAATGAGTTTCACGTCCTCACTTTAAATAAGCGGATGCATTTGAACCAATTCTTATATATATATATATATATAAGGGTCACGCTCCGGTGAGAATGATGCTCAATGAAAGAAATAAGAATTAATTTTAGTCATTAGATCATATGATCCAATGACTAAAAAAACTGCTGATTTTTACACTCATTAAGGATAATATGGTAATATCCCAACCAATCATCTCAGTAGGACCCACCCCTCAATCAATATGCTCCATCAGTTACAACCTGTCATCACGCGCCTCCCCACCCCCTTTCTCTCTCTCTCACACATACACACACGCACTGAATCGCTACACACACATGCACACACTTTACACACACTTTACACACACACACACATGGTCGTCGGTCATCCTCACCGCCTGTCGCCGCCTCCACTCTCTCGCCGGCGAGATCCACCACCCTCCGGACAAGCTGCAGATACGTCGCCATTGGCAACGACAAAGACCGTCGGAGAGTGAACCCCTACCACCGCCGTGAAATCTGCTGTCAGACATCATTCACTGACCGCCGCCATCACCGTCTTGCATCTTCTTCTCCACCCACGGTGGAACCGCCTAATTTCCACTCCGGCTCCGGCAGACGTCCATCTAGGCTATTACCCCAAGCGCCGCCGACAACAGCTCTCACTGACGGTTTTCGGCGACCGCAGACTGCACACATGAAGCTCTAACTGGAGCTCGTCCGTCGCGGAGATGCTGGAGGAGGTGACTGAGACGACGGAGGAGCTGGGAGGCGTAGGGCGGCGACGGGAAGATGTTGTTTTCCGGCAAGGAGAAGATAGGGGCTCTAATTTGAAAATTTGATAGGTATTAGGGACTTAAATGCAATTTTTGGAATTTTGTTAAATTCCAATTCAATCCATGGGTCAAATCTGCAATTTATATAAAATTAATTATAAATTTTTTTGTCATTTAATTTTTTCAANGGGGCCCGGGCCGTTTGTTGTTGGATGTCTGTGGCAGTGACAGGTGGAGTGCGAGTCATCGGGAGGGGCGAACCCCGGTTACTGTGGCGCTCTTTGTTGTGGCGGTCGGGGTGAGGGCCGTTTTTCTCTCGCTCAATCCCTCGTTTGACTAGTGGTGTTAGGTGACGGGGGAGGTTCAATCGGCCTCGTCTAGTGGTGTTAGATGAGTTCGGATGGAATCGGGGTGGGGTGGACTACGGCTCTCTTGGTTTTCGACGGGTCGATGGGGACTGGTTCGGGGTTAGGGTTCTACTACTGTATAGGCTTAATTGCAGTTTCGGTAGCTGGTTCTTGGCCTGGATCCATCTTGTGTCGATCGTGCACTGCTGGTTCAGACTTGTTCGTTCGCTGGGGAAAGGCTATTAGATTTTTAGATTATTTGTGTTCTTGTGTTTTGTTTTAGTGTTTGTGTTGTGCGTGTCTTGTATTTTTGGTTTGGGCAGTTGGCCCCTGTGTGCCCGAGTGTCACTTTTATTGCCCTGTGGGGGTCCGACACTCGGGTATTACCCTGTGGGGGTCTTTGTATTGTGATGTTGTTTTTTGTGTCTTTTAGCGTTGTTGAGTATTACCCCGTTGGGGTCGGTTCTAGGCGGTCTTTTGACTTGTCCTCCCAGTTTTCTTAGGTGTTAGCTGCTTATATTCGGTTGTTGGCTGTTTATATTCGGCTGGTGGCTGTAATTTGCACATTTGTGCCCTTTTGTAATATATCTATCATTTCGAAAAAAAAAACAAATATTAAAATCTTTGATATTTCATTTCGATTTTGATTTTATTTATAAAATAAATAAATAATAGAACCAACCAAACTATATAAAAAGATATTATTTATATTCGATCTATATAAAAAATATATTATTTATTTTCAACGAATAATAATATAAAATATTACATAAAAATATAAATAGCAAATATATTTTTTATTATATAAATAATTAGATAACTGCATAATAAAAACTAGTTAAAATACACATTAGTAAAATATTATAAAATTGGAATGCACGTAAAAGAAAAAAAAAAATCCACTCAATATATTGCACAATAATGTTATACTAGATGCAAAATTGTGTTTGTGTGCTTGCACTTTATTGTTTTTGGTATTTCGTATATTATATTTTTACAACCAAAAATAAAATAAAATAATAATGAAATTACTAACAACCTAAATATAATTTTAATATAGAAAACAAACTATTTCAATAATTTAGGATAGTTCAATTAGACCTAATATGTCAAGTAATTATGTCCAACTTCTTTCGATTTGCGATAAAAGTTTGATCGTTTCAATTTGCACAATACAGACCGACACCAAGCACCATAGTGTTCTACGAATTGCACACTGATAACTATCAGATTGCACATTATATTTTGTGTACATGTATATTATTTTTATAATCAAACATAATATAAAGTATCAATAAATATTTTAAATACTATATATATATATGATTTTTAATAATACAAATAATCATTTATTTTGGTTATATTAATGTGCAGTTCCTCACACGGTAATGTGCAATTTATGTAACATTGTTGTGCAAGTATTAAACTTCTATTATATTACAGATTGACCACATACTAAATGGAAATATATTAAAATTTTACAAATTGCATTAAAGTCCCTAAAATGTATCAAATTCTCACAAAAAAACCCCAAAACCATAAAACAATAACAAGCTGAATCACATCCACTGGAGTTGACTCCGGCCGGTCTCCGTCATTGTCAACGCCACCGCCACCGCCGTCTTCATCACCAAAGTCCACCTACAATCTGACGCCGACCTCAACCAAAAAAGAAAAAAGAAAGAAAAAGCGAATAAACTTCACAGGGTCGTCGCCGCCGTCAACTCTCCTCCGCCATTCTCCCGCAGCCGTCATCGTCCATCAGTTGACGTCCTGTCTGTACCGACACCATCGCTCAAACACATACACACACACACGAGTTGTATATTGCAGACGACAGACCGATTTGGCTTGTTGACAACGACGGCGTAGAGGAAGGGGTTGGGTTATGCCGGAGCATTTTGTGTCGCAGCCATCTCCGATGACGAGCTGCGGATGCTCGGCGACTCAAATTGTGGTGGCAGACGGCGGCTGATGGTGTCGTGACTGTTGGCAACGACAGCTGAGGCATGGATGTGGATGGTGTCGGCGGTGACGACAGCGGTGATGTTGTGTCGACGGGTGGTGGTTGGCGGCGGCGGGCAGGATCGGCGGCTGCAGGTGTGGTGGATCCTCTCAGTGTGTGTTTGTGTGTGAATCGGGTATATGTGCTTGGGCAGAGATATAGATCTAGTGTGTGTTTTTGGTATTAATGTGTGTGAGAGAGAGAAAATTAGGGTTGGTGGATTGTGGTGGGACCCACATTAATGAGTTGGACAAATTTATAATGACTAAAATACCCTTAATAATTGACATTTGACCACAACGTGTATGTTAATTTACCATACTGCCATTAATGATTGACCAGTTTGACTTCATCATATCCATGGATATGATGTATCCAATCTTCTGAATTTATTCTCATTTCTTTCATTGTATACTTTCTCATTTGAACGCACTTCTATATATATATATATATATATATCCAATGGTCCGAATTTATTCTCATTTCTTTCATTGTGTACTTTCTCATTTGAACGCACTTATATATATATATATATATATATATATATATATAAAATAGATTAAACGTCGTTTTGGATAACTATGAACTAATTAGTTTTATAACTATCTCAAATCCTAAAAATTTGTAGATTAGTTCATGTTTTATTTTTATTTTTTGTTACGTAACTTTAGCACACAAACCCTCCTACTTCATTCCAACAACATGAAAAATAGTACAATTTTTTTTTTCTTCCTCAAAAAATCACCCGCCCTAATAGTTAACGTGACAGAAAAAAAATAGAAAAATACATATATAAAATGTTTACATTGATTGGAAAACTGAAAAGGAGAGAAATACGGATATAAAATGTCTATGTCAATTGAAAAACTCATAAGGGGAGAAATACATATATAAAATGCTACAGATATAATGAGAGAAATATAGATATAAAATGTTTATGACGATTGAAAAACTGATAAGGAGAGAAATACATATATAACATGTTTATATGGATAACTATCATGAAAAACTCAGAAGGAGAGAGAAAAATATTAAAATGTATTTAAATAAGATTAGGAGATTTAGGAAAATCTAAGCACAAGAATAAGATAACTAATTTCTTTGAATACGTAATTTTGTTCTTTTAAGCTAGAACGACAATTAATAATAAACGGAGGGAGTACTTTTTAGTTATGCACTTGCGTTGTCCATCCTTCCATGATCCATTTTGGTCCCTATGAGTAGCGATCACTCCGCCTCTCAAACAATTAAATTGTATTATAAATGTGAAGAAATGAATAAATAACATAATATAGAAATTGAATATAATGTATTCTGATTTTGTTCTTTCTTTCTGGTGTGCTACTACTTAGATCATGATAGAATCGGTTGAGAAGAGCTTCAATCTGCCTGAATCATCGCGCGTAGACCTACAAGAACTCAACGCCAGAGATGATCCCGTCGTAGAGACTCCGATGCTTAAGTCAACAAAGGAAGAAGATGATGTTCTGTAAATGAGAGCAGTATGGAATGTATATAGAATGTAAAGTTAAAGTTTGTGTCATATACCCAATCACCGTTGAAGAAAAGTTGTCACCTTTGGCCAGAACCGTGACGTTATCTATGGAAAAGGGGAGATTTTTAGAGAAAACGGGCAGATCTGAGGTGGTTGATGGTGGTGTTGTGGCCAAGCATGAGGGATTAGGGTTGCGCAAGGGGACAATGGAGATCGATGATAATTTGAATGTGGCGATCAAGACAGGAGACCAAGGGTTAATGGATTTTGGAAATGGGCCGGAATTGGTATCTGCTGTTGGGCCACAGGCCTAGTTGGTCCAATTGTACTCATTATTTAATATTTAGCCTAAGTGTTAGTTTTTCTTTGGGATATTTATTGATTCCAGTTTTAAGGTAGTTATTAGATGCTATTTTCTGTGGGACCCATGTGAGGGTATTTTATGTGGAGTGTCAAACTTTATTGGGAATTATGAAAAAAAATCATAACTTAATTTCTACCTCTCTCATCCTCCTCCTTCTATCTCTCTTTTACTCTCCTTCCCTAATTCATCTTCTTACAAATTTGCAGAAAATACCAAGAAAATCTACAGAAATTCATAGAAAAACCATATACTATTACATCGCTTAACAATTGGTATCTAAAGCAAGGTTCTGGGCCATGGTTGAAGGCACCCATAGCAAAGACATCCATGAATGGAAAAACAAAAAAACTCGATCAATTTATGCAGACTGAGGTCATGAGAAGGGAAGCTGTATAAATGAAATTCCAAGATCAATTTGCACAGTTAGGCACTGAAATGAATGGGAAATTTGAGCATTTAGCAAATACTCTCGCAGCTATGCAAACTACAACTCCTCAACATGGATAAAAAGTAAATACAAGTTGAGGAATCCATTTTTGGTCCATACCAGGAACACAAATTAGAAGGATCTTACAGGCAAACAACAAAACCAAAAATCCAGTTTGGAGAGAAATAAAACACTCAGAATTCTCATGTAATTAGCCCATTACCCGAAATTGATTTTCCCCATTTTGATGGTACCTACCCCAGAGCATGGATTTGAAAATGTAACAATTACTTCAAAATCATACCAAACATCTCAGACCACCAAAAAGTTCACTTGGCATCGATGCATTTTGAAGGTAAGGCTGCACAGTGGTTTCAAAGCTTTAGTCCTAAGTGTGTAGATATCACTTGGGCACAATTCTTGGTGGTAATATTTACCAGGTTTGAAGAACTAAAAGAAGCTAAGATAATTGGTGAGTTAAACAAGCTGAGACACACTGGCTCATATTTGGAATATGGAGAAATGTTTGAAGAGCTAAGAGCTTGCATGCTCTGCATGAACAAGGAATTTGATGAGGAATACTTCATTGCAAGTTTTATAAGTGGTCTTCTTGAAAAACTACAATCTGTCATTTACATGTTTGATCCAGTTAGTCTACAACAGACTATTGATTTGGGTAAGAGGCAGATCATTACCCTAGAGGCTATTACTAAGAAGTTGAAGAATACCAACAAGGAATATCATGTAACACCTCCTTTCACTAAGAGGAATGATACTCAATCCAGTTACACACCTAGGGTCAACCAGAACTCAGTGACAAATCCAATTAAAATGCTTACGTCAGCTGAAATTGCTGCTAAAAGGGAAAGGGGGCTTTGTTACAACTGTGATGAACAATATACATATGGTTATAGATGCAAACATTGGCTGAATTACATGGTGATGACTGAAGAGGAGGAGTTAAGCTACATGCAATCTGTTGATCCTATGACATCAGAGGAGGATACTTCTGAAGACATGGAAGAGATACAAATGTCATTGAATGCAATGGTTGATGAGGATGGCTTGACTACTGATATAGCCATATCATGATCAACCGGTTATGTGTTGATATCTTGACTGGGTGTCAAGTCGAGCTATCAACATGTCAACTTGAGTAAGGCATAACGACCCGAGTTATTGGAAGCAAGGACGATAATGACTTGGAAAGAGGAACTCAATCCCTAGAAAACAACTTGACATCGAGGAGGAATAAGAACCCGACCCGGCATCTGTTGTTTTAGTCAAGTGCTTGTTAGCTGTTAATTTATTTATGCGAACATTGTTCCTTTATTTTACATTGTAGATAATATGGTTCCAAGTGTGGAACAATAAGGTCATATTATCAGTGCCTTGTAAAATATAAATGATGGTTCACAGTCTGAACGAGAATTGAACTCCCTTGTCGTGAAAGACTATAGTGTGAATCTTTGAATTAGTTGATCTTAGACTAATTGATTACACTAGTACATCTCGTATATATTGAATGACTCACAGGAGGATAAGATTATTTTATACTTACTAAGTGAATAATCTAGACCTTATTATTTGTTGTGTATTCTTAACCCGCAAACTAATGTATGAGCATATGTAGTCGGCACTTACTTATTTGATTTAGCAAGGGTGAGAATTATTTTGGTAGGTCGACATACTCTATATTTTGGTAAATAATGTCGACTGCATGATGTGCCGTCAATATTGTTTACGGTGACCATATCTCGGGAAAGTCCGGGTTGATGACGTCCCCAAAGTGACCTCAAGAGGGATCATTATGTCAAGCCCTGCAGGCGGATTGGAGTGTTGGCATGATGATAAAGAATTGAGTGATACTAGCTAAGGACATAGATGTTGATTAATTAAATTGTTAGTGATTAAATTAATCAGCAGATGTTATATCTTAAATATGAAGAAATAAATCGAGCAATAAATAAGAAAATAATTTATTATAATTTGGAGTTACATTGGGAGTGCAATAATATTTCTCTGGTGGAATAATTTATTATTTGAGTATTGAGCGGGGTGGGCTTGGCTCACAGTTGGGCTCATGCTTGGGGAGCCCATATTCCATATTTAACACCTCCCTAGGGTCTTTATTGTAGCGCTATAAATACACCAAGTCTCAAGCCTCAAAACACAAGAGAGAGACATATGATACACGGTTTTTTCTTCTTCCCCAAAAGAGGAAAAATCGATCGGTCGTCATTGTGTTCTTAAGAGTTTGTGAGTTTTGAGAGGTTCGTTCAATCGCTTCACCAAGATTGTTCGGTAGGTGTTTGGATAATACAACAGAAGATTCTTGGGTCTTTTATTTGTATCCCGTCTACATATATTCACAACCCTGCAAAGTTTCTCTAACTCACGGGGTTGTCCATTCTTTAAAAAATCGATAATTATGTCCACTGGAAGCCAGAGGTCATCGTACAACATCAGCCAAAGCCCGGCCGCGATCAGTTATGCCCAGCTGCGACCTGACCGTCCTTAGCCGCGCAACACTGCCCTGGCCATTGTAGACCCGAGCTCACACCATACGTCCACGCACAGTCCGTGTGCTGCTCTGCACGACCTGTAGGTGTCCCCAGGGTGACCCGCGACGTTCTCGCGAAACCTAAAGGTGGCCCCAGCGCAACCAGCGACGTTCTCGCGCTCCCTGCTGTTAGTGTGTATACGGAAATCTTGGCTTTAAATGTGATTCACACTATTTATTTTGGATGAGAATTCATTGTTTGATTAAATAAAGTTCTACGTTCTATTGTTTTGCATTTAGATAAATGGTTCATCACGGATGGACAAAAGACAATTTATCAGTTACTTTTGAAATATAAACTATTTATTCACAACCTAGATGGAAATTGAAAAAATTCATTGGAGTGGCTGTAGTGTGGGCGGCACAGTGATCTTGACTGATTAGTCACACTAGCATACATTGGTGTATTAAATGGTTCTCAGAGAGGAGCAGTTTGTTTTATACTAATTGGCGTAAACGAACTTGGCCTCGGCTAGTGGGGGTGAAAATAGTTAGCTTTATAGTGAGGGTGAAAATAGCTATTTCCTATAATATATACTAGTACAATACCCGTGTATTACACGGGTGTTGAATTAGAAAGTTTTTGTAAAAAATATTAAATTTTCTATTTTTTTAAAAACTAAAATAATTTAATTTTATATAAAACATTACTTTTGATTTTAATTAAATTTCAAATTATATTTTTAATCATAATAATTAAAAACCCGTACATTAAATGAAAATGTCAACCCGTGTTGAATTTTTTTACTTATATCATATAAAAATATTGATATTATTTACTATTACATAAGTATAAAAAATATATCTTATATAAATAGAAATAATATGGTGATATGTATATGCATAAGTGTAGAATATGTTTATTGAATACTAAACACAATAGATTAATTTTTTTACTTAATTAGATGCCTAATACATCAAGTATCATATCAATCGTGTTTCACAGTTTTTTAACTTTATATGTAATTTTAGAATTTATATAAATAATTATTTATTTTTATTACATTGACAATATACCAATTAAAATTGAAATAAATATTATTTTTAAGAGAATACATACCAATTTCTATTACTTTATAATATAATTTATAGTGTTATTTGAAATAATTTTATTTAGTTTGATAAATAAATTTAAATTTTATTTATAAGGATATATATTACTGTTTTGTATTATATATATATATATATATATATTTATAGTAAAATATAAACGGACTTCATAATATTAATTCAAATGCAATACACTAATTAATATTTTTTTCTTGACAATATTAACCCCATCTAATGGATGTTAGAAGATGGGATATGAAGAGACACTGTGTATTAGATGGAGGGTTAAAATGAAAAAATCTGAACAAAATATCTAAAACGACATTTATTTTATCAATGATCAATCAAGCCAAGGTGACAAATAATAAAAATGGGAGAGAGTATATATTATTATATATTTTAGTATGACACATGTTACTTGTGCGACTTATATGTGTTATATTATGATAAATTTTCTACCTTATAACATATAACTACATTAAAATAAATATATTAATTGATAAATAATTTTATTTATAATTAATTTTAACAAAATAATTTTATTATTATTATAAAGATAAATATAATTTATTTATTTTACATATACAATATGGATATCAAATCGAAGCTCATCAAAAGATGATTAATTTGATATATTATATATGTAAAACCGATAAAAAATACAAAAGTTATCAACTTTTAAAATATATTTGCAATTCAATGGTTATAATAGGAAATGATATTAAAATACAATTAATACAAATATTAATTTATATCCAAGCCTAACTCCAAAGCATGATTTTTTGTCAAATAGGATTCCGAAGCATAAGAGCCTGCCACGTAGGCTCAGCGCATTCTGAAACTATATATAGAATAAATAAATATATTAATTGATAAATAATTTTATTTTATAATTAATTTTAATAAATAATTTTATTATTATTATAAAGATAAATATAATTTATTTATTTTATATATATAATATGGATATCAAATCGAAGCTCATCAAAAGATGATTAATTTGATATATTATATATGTAAAACCGATAAAAAATACAAAAGTTATCAACTTTTAAAATATATTTACAATTCAATGGTTATAATAGGAAATGATATTAAAATACAATTAATACAAATATTAATTTATATCCAAGCCTAACTCCAAAGCATGATTTTTTGTCAAATAGGATTCTGAAGCATAAGAGTCTGCCACGTAGGCTCAGCGCATTCTGAAATTATATATAGAATAAATATATTAATTGATAAATAATTTTATTTTATAATTAATTTAAAAATAATTTTATTATTATTATAAAGATAAATATAATTTATTTATTTTATATATATGATATGGATATCAAATCGAAACTCATCAAAAGATGATTAATTTGATATATTGTATATGTAAAACCGATAAAAAATACAAAAATTATCAACTTTTAAAATATATTTGCACTTCAATGGTTATAATAGGAAATGATATTAAAATACAATTAATACAGATATTAATTTATATCCAAGCCTAACTCCAAAGCATAATTTTTTGTCAAATACGATTCCGAAGCATAAGAGTCTGCCACGTAGGCTCAGCGCATTCTGAAATTATATATAGAGGGGATTTACAAATTTGAGTAACAATAGTTATTTCCTTTAATATATATTTACAAATCCTCAAATTTTATTTATATTTTTTTTCTGGATTTTATTTTTTTATAAAGAAATAATACGTGAGGGGGTAATAATAGGCTAATGCTATATTTGGCTATTTTTACGCATCAGATTATTTTGGGGTCTAAATCTGAGAAGAAGTATGCATGCATTTTCATGTCTCCTTTCATGGGCTCCTCCTTTCTAATTCATTCATAAATGCAAAATGGCAAATGTTAATGCAGATCCAGACCCATCGCAGGTATGTGTCCAAATTCAATCGCAATTGCATGATGATGATGATGATGATGACTATTCGTCTTACTCAATTTCATGAATTTCTCTCTTTTTTTTTTCCTTTTAATTTGTTGTGGATCTTATACATGATGATTTTCAGGTGGAAAGTGGGGACGACAAAAATGAGCCACCACCCTCACCAAAAGGGCCCGCTTTTCATGGCGGGAGCAAGGTATTTTTTGTTAAATTTACCATATCGACATTTAATGTCCTCATGATTGCTTTATTTAATTACTTGGTTTATCATTTTTTTTTTTTCCTTTTAAGGGAGTTATAATCTTTGTTGTGCATCAAATCTATGTATGTATGTTGGGCAGATAAATGCTAATGTTTGAACTATTCTGGTGGCTTGAGGGGCATAATATAATCATATTATGTGTGTTTATGATTACTTTTCTAGCTAGAAGAGGTATACTATAAATAGGGAATATATGTTAAAAAAACTGAAGAGAGATTTTGCATGGGAACAATTTAAGATGGTTTAAACATATCTAAAGGTGATTTAGTTGTTCCAGATTGAATCAAGTGATGAACTTGGGGGAAGATTTTTAAGAAAAAATTAGTTTTATTGGTTAAAGACAATGGAATCATGAGTCGATTGACAATCATCGACAGATTTTTTGTCAAGAAGTGTAATGGACATACTGTGATCTATGGTGAATATATCATTAGTAACACAAAATAGTGATAATAAACTTGATCAAAGTAGGAGGAGCTGAAAAATTACATATCTGACCACATACTACATGAATGTTGGGGTGCTCGACAACGTATGCATAATTATCTTATGTGAAGTTTGTTTTGTGTTCTTATTTATTTAGCTGTTACATCTCTAGACTGCTAATCCATGTTCTGTGAACTATGTCATGTTGCAGGTATATAAAAGTGGCCCACTGTTTTTATCATCAAAAGGTTTGTTTTTCCATTTCTTTATTTTATTTTTGTTAGAATGGTCCTTTTTTTCTTTAAATTTTTCTCTTGTAGCAAAAGTTTTAAACATCCTTGTTTTATGTTTAGGATTCATGATGCTTTCTTCATTCATATGATTAGATTTTAATTACAGAATTCTAAATCGGTCTTCTTGGCTTTAAGTGTAAGATATACATGCCTAGTGGTGCTTTTTTTGTGTTTGTGTGTGTGTGTGTGTGTGTTTGTAAGTGCATAAATTGTGCATTCTACTTACTAATGATTTTGATATTTGTTAACAATATTCTTCAAAATACTAAATATAATCTAGCAGTAGATCTTGTTTCTTGCATACAACTATAATAGAGGATTGCAAGTGGAATATCTTCAATTTTATTCACTGTTATAATGCAACTGATCTTGAACAGATACTATATTTTAAGAACCATTTCGTATATTTAGTTTCCGAAGTTGCAAAAATAAATTTTCAAACTAAATGCTGAGTTTATTCATAGGATCCAATTGGCTATAATCTAGGTGCCTGACCCTAGCTAATTGCTAATTAGCACGACCAAGTGTAGAAAATAATGGCTATTTCTTGTTAGCTACTTTCAGCATGCTACATTTTTTCTTCATCAACTTTTCTATCAACTTGGTTTATTTATTTTTTATTTTTTATCATATAGGAATTGGATGGACATCATGGAAGAAGAGGTGGTTTATTTTAACTCAGACCTCTTTGGTCTTCTACAGAAGTGATCCAGTAAGTTTATTTTAGTAATTTAATTATGTACGTATTATGCACCTTGGGTCGCTACGGAAACAACCTCCTTGTATAATTACAAGGGTAAGGTCTGCGTACAACTGACCCCCCAGACCCCAACCTGTTGGGAATATACTGGGTATGTTGTTGTTGTTGTTGTTGTTGTTGTAATTATGTACGTATTATCTTAACTGAGATGAGATGAATTTTGTGCCTAAAGTTCTAAATATAGTGTGAATGTAATTACTTATGTTTTTTAACAACGACATTTGATTAAGGTTAATTTTTTTTTCCTGTTACTTCTTCTATATATTGGCATCCTTGGTTAAATGCTTCTGCTCTATGCTCATTTACAGCAAAAAACATGAGAGTTATTGAATATATACATTCCACACAATCCAATCTTATATATATATATATATATGAGTGTTCAACATGCTTGTTGAAAAGTAAATTGAAAAGAATTTTTCCTTATTAGTATGAAAGTCCATCTCTAATTTACACTTGCTTAACCAGGCATTAAAAATGACATGCTGATAAATTATCTAAAAAATCTTCCTAAATTTAAATTTTTCATTTTGAATACATTCTTTTATTAGGCGTAAGCTTTTGTATCCAAAAATTAATGTATTCTAATGAATTACATGTTAATTTTTTCTCTCAGAATGTGGTCTCTCAAAAATTGAGTGAAGTCAACTTAACCCTTGGAGGTATTGATCTAAACAGCTCAGGCAGGTTAGTCTTTTCTTTTTTTTTTTTAATTATTTTTATTTGCAATCAATTGGCCTCAATTGCCATTCCTTACAACTAGATATTAACTTTCGTGATTTATACATAGTGTGGTAGTTAAAGAAGACAAGAAATTGATCACCGTGCTTTTCACTGATGGCCGTGATGGACGAGCTTTCACGCTCAAGGTACAATCATTTTTTATATTTATTTATTTTTATCTTTGAATCTTCGATTTTCATGCTTAGTTACTATATTTGTGGCTCATTCATTGTCCATAGTAAAACAGAGAGTACTGATACTAAAGATAACTATAAATTGATATATAACAACTCTTGTTCAGGCAGAAACACTGGAGGATTTGCATGAGTGGAAGAATGCACTTGAGAAAGCCATTTCAAATGCTCCTAATGCTGCTCTTGTCATGGGACAAAATGGTATATTCAGAAATGATCAGGCTAATGGAACTGATCAATCTTCAGAACAATGTACGCTTACAACATTATGTGTAACGTGTTTAGTTGATAAATTATTCCATTAAATACTTCTACAATACTCTCCTACAACGAATGTAATATATCTGAATCAATATAACAAGTTTTGTCATAAACAAAATGTAACTCTTTATTAAAAACAAAATGTCAATGTTTATTTGATCCTTTTCTAGACATTACATAATTGTTTTAAAAAAAAAAAAAAACTGAAAATTTTTAAAATCACGTTGCCCTCACTCAGTAGCCTTTCCTAGTAGACCATGATTATACTATTGTGCTTCTTTGTCTGTGCTTATAGCGAAAGACAAACAGACAGCAAAATCATTGGTAATTGGCAGACCGATTTTACTTGCTCTTGAAGATATTGATGGCACTCCATCTTTTTTGGAAAAAGCTCTTCAGTTTCTTGAAGAGCATGGTGAGTTTCTTTCTGAACTTAAAGGGTGTCACATATATTCTATTGTATTCATGTGTATAATCTCCCTTAAAACTGCTAGTATTTTTGGATTTTTTTGAAGTTAACTTGAATTTCCGTTATTGATAGCTTGGAAATAAAATTACTTATGTCACCTTTTCTCTACCTGGGTTTGGGTTTTGAATTTGTACTGAACCAACACTTTTTCAGCTCGAATCTGAAGAAATTCTTAATATATTGTCAATTTTACCTTTCATGTTTCAATGTTCATTTTTGCATTAGTTATATGAATCTGATTCATCCTCCATGTTATTGTAGAATTAGTATCCATCTAACTAGGTGCTTCACAAGTTGTCATTAAGCTTTCACAAATATATAAAAAGGGACCATATTTTCCTATGGTATTGATCTGTAAAATCTTATTCTAGGAGTCAAAACAGAAGGTATCTTGAGGCAAGCTGCTGATGTTGAAGATGTTGAACGTCGAATACAAGAATATGAGAAAGGTTGACTGATTTTTTCAGTATATAGATTCCATGATTTGTTTTCGTTTTACTTAAGGATCGAGTACATAACGTAAGAATTTCCTTCAAATTTTCTAGATTTATGGTAAACACTGACAATAACTACTTGCCACTGAAGTATTTGTATCTGTTCAGTTTCTAGTATAAAAACTTTCTATAGGCAGCATTTAAAGCCTCATCATAACTAATTTTCAATCGTATGACAATCATCAATTTAATGCATCAAATTCCAGGCTATCCACATCACTCACTCATAAGGATTGGCCTCAGAATGTATTATTAACTAATACATATTTAAATCATTTCAGGAAAAACAGAGTTATCGCCCAATGAAGATGCGCATGTTATAGCTGACTGTATAAAGGTACTTTTCTAATTATGTGGAAACATATGATTTTGCAGTTTTCTCTACCGTCATGATCAATTCTTTTTATTTTTTATTTTTATTTTATTTTATCATGTGCAGTATGTACTTCGTGAGTTACCTTCATCACCAGTTCCTGCTTCTTGCTGCAAGGCTCTCCTTGAAGCTTGTAGTGAGTTAATTTTTCCCTTTCCCTTTCTTTGATGTCGTAGGATTTTGTATGTTGGGGTACTTTAAAAAAAAGTTGATGTTTTGAATTGTAAGGGTATGCATGGATGTTTTCATGAAATATTACTCTTTTGATAATAAGAATCAAATTCTAGTAATGACGCAAGAGACTTAAATTTGTGTTTGTTGGGATGATTAGGAAGTGAACGTAGCATGAGAATAAACGTTGTGCGTTCAGCAATATTGGAAACGTTTCCCGAGCCAAACCGTTGTTTACTGCAGAGGTAGCGTACCCATAATGTAATAAATTAGTGTATGGCATTTGGATAGGATTTGTTGGTAGTAATGTTGTAATTGAAAAGTTGTTTGTTTACTTGTGGGGTGGGTTCAGAATTCTTAGGATGATGCAAAAAGTGGCTTCAAATAAGGGAGTGAACAGAATGAGTGTATCAGCAGTGGCAGCTTGCATGGCTCCTTTACTCTTGCGCCCTCTTCTTGCTGGTGATTGTGATCTTGATCAGGATTTCGATGTGGGAGGTGACAACTCTCTTCAACTTCTACAAGCAGCAGCTGCAGCTAATCATGCTCAGGCCATTGTTATCACTTTGCTTGAAGAGTATGACAATATCTTTGGGGTAATCATTTCATTTTTTGACTTACATTTCAACAATTATCAAGGAATCTTTTGCTTTTGTTTGCTTTTTTTTTTTTCTTTTCAATTTCGAAAACGATGTCTCGTAAACTTTTAGGTCTGTTTTTCCACTTTCCAGGATCATGCAGTTACCCACGAACCATATACTGATTCAGAAGAGAGTGGGAGTGAGAGTGAGGAAATTACAGAAGATGATGATGATGATGATGATGATAGCTTTGATGAAGATGATGCCACCGAAGACTCCAATTCTTATGTGGACCAAGATTCTGACCACCAATCAACTCCTAGTACAACTAAAACTGGTGATGACAAATGCAGTCAAAAGGTTTGTATTTATTTTCCTTTATTTTTAATTCAAAACAAAATCTTTCCTTTCAGTACTTGTTCTTCATAGCTATTGACTTTCAAAACTTATCAAAGTTTTACAACATATAATTGGTGGTTATGCTAACTTATATTGAATACCCATTATATTTTCCAAGTTAACCCTTATATTATCAAAAATATAAATGGATTCCTGTTTTTCTTATAAAACTTCAGTCCCCTGGAAGTTCGGGATCCAACTCACCTCGAGTAGAAGATAATGCCATTGAAGCCAACAAGATTTGGTTGCCTAGCCCTCGTCATGCAGCATTGGATAAACATGATAGCCCAAAGGCAGCTGAAAAAAATGTTTCTGATTCAAAGATGCAATCGAGTCCCCTTGAGGCAGAGGACCAACTTTCTGAAGAAGCATCCGTTATGCAAAGGCCTCCTAATTTATCATGTGGTGTTCGCAGTGTTAGACGGCCTGCTGTTTGGGGACGTACTCCTGTGAGAATTTTTTTTTTATTCATCTTGCTAGCTCTAAACTTTTCCCTTTGAAGTTAGTCAATATTTTAATTTTCTTTCATTTTCCCCCCATTAAATAACTTGGTTGTTTGTACCATATTTACATTTTGGAGATACTTTTGCAAGACTCACTTAAAATGTTTTGAGTCCAGGCAAAGAAGAACCTTTCCATGGAATCCATTGAACTCCCTTCTGATGATGAGTAAGTGATAATCTTTGTTTTTATGTTGGATCTATCTCTATTGATGTATTTACAGTTTTTTTCTCATTACTAAGATCAAATAACTCAAATTATTGTTTCATTTGATATAATACTTGAAAGTGCACTTCAAGTTGTGGAGAACTTTCTTTTGTTTCTAATAGGCAACATGATGCAAATTATAATCGATTATCAGAGTCAATAAATCTTACACGTTACGTAAAAAGGGAATGATCGTGAATCATTATATATAAAAGAACTATCCTCTCTTGTTCAATGTTAAGCAAGGTCATTTTTTGTTCCTTCCAATGTGCATATCTTATTACTGATGATTAAATTAAAGATGGAGATTTTGGTAACTGATCAAGCTTACATTTGAAATTTTTGGATAACCTCTTGAATGTGAATGGATGCAGAATTTTCGGATTATCTTCTATATTATATTTCTCGTTTCTTAGATAAATGAGGTTTTAGTAAATATAAACAATTGGGCTATAAGTGAGGAAATAGTTGGTGAAAATTTGGAGAAATACGATGTAAAGAAAAATATTGGTAAGTTTGAATGTCGAATATTTTCATAAATTCAAATTTTGTAGTGTGATAATCATTTGAATGATGTGAAATTGCGGACATTTGCAATTTTAACACTGTTTTTTGTGTTGTTTCTTGGATTGTACTGAAATTGAATAAGCTCGTAATTTTAGATGATATTAGCAGCAGTTAGAATGTTTTGTTTCCACAATGGAAATTCACATATAAGTATTATTTTATCGTTGCTTCAGACAAACCTGGGAAATTGTCCTTGTTATATAGAACTTTTTCCCATATGGGTACTAATATGAATTTGGTCTGATTATTAGGACTGAAATCCAAAAGCTTGAGTGTATCAAAGCAGATTTACAAACCAGAATTTCAATTGAGGTAAGAACTTTACTCACTCGCTTTCTCTATGCATTAATTTCACTTATATGATCTCATGACTTCATTCAATAATAGGCAATGGAGAATTCGCGTCTGCTAAATAGTCTACAGAAGCAGAAGCATGATTTGCATGAACATCGCGTAGCTCTTGAGAAAGAAGTAAGGCTATTGAGATGACTTTTTTTACTTTTCTCTAATGTAGTAATGATGCTGCAGAGGATGAAAACAACACTATAGACATTTGGTTAAAGCAAAACTAATTCATGTGGAGACATTAAACTACTTCATATTCCCTACTCTTATGGAATGCTTGAAAATTGCATCTTAGGTGGCAAGTCTGCAAGAGCAATTAGAGAATGAGGTGGAGTTGAAGGCAGTACTTGAAGCTGCACTGAAAAAGTCCCAAATTCCTTTCTCTAATTCACCACTTGTTGACGAGAAGGTTAGAGTTGGTCGATCACCATATCTCAACTACTTTCTTTTATCAGCTTCATATTTTAACCATCTTCTACAATTGAGTGCAGATGAGGGCGGAGCTTGAGGAAATTTCTCAGGCGGAGGCAAATGTCGTGAATTTAAAAAAGAACGTTGATGACCTTGAATTTCAACTTAATCAACAGCGAGAACAAACTTCTAGGATGCAGCATGATAACATTGGCAATCAGCTTAACAAGAATCCAATTTATCAAACTCTGATGTAAGGATATATGTTTCTTGCTTAAGTACATGTTATTTTTGTTTATTTTTTTATTTTTTTCTTGTTGTACTTGACTTTTTATCTTCCAACAATCTGGGTTTCTGTTGTCAATTTGAACTTGCAAACTTGTTCTTCATTTTATTTTTAATTGAACTATTGTTGATTACTTGTGATTTATTGAAGATGTCAACTTGTTTTCACCGGGGTGCAGGAAAGATAAACAGACAGATGGTGGAGTTGTAGTTGTCTCAAGAACTTCAGAAAGCTTGTCGAGTAATAATAAGGTACATATCCGTTTTTAGTGACATGCAAGTGCCCAATAAGATAATTTTAGCATAATATGTTAAATTTTAATAACTAAACTGAAGATGGAAAACTGAGTTTGGTTCCATTAATCACTTGCTAAAATTATATATAAATTGTGCAGCAGGAACATGAATACGTCTTTCATTATAATTAGATTGTAACTTTGAAATGTGGACTAGGATACTCTGAAACTTAGTATTCTGCAACAACTAATAAATTTCTTAGTGATAGATCTGCAGATGCTTCTTTATTTCTTGCATTCGTCACTTTATTTCTTTTTGTTCCATCTATGTATTTGATAAGATCTTACTATACACACTATATACTAGGAGCTGCGATTAAATGTATAATATTTTCTTTTTATCTCTAAAATTTATTTACCGGCAAAATGTGGTGGCATCTTCAGAAAATGTCACAGAAAGAAAACTTGTGGCAACGCATCTGCTTCTGTAGGGAAATTATTTCATCTAATAATTATTTGACATGGGATGATAAAATCTAACTATAGTAATATCATGTACAGTAAGTGGTACCATAAAACAAGAAACATAAACAAGAAGTTATCTTCTTTGTGCACAGCGTGATTTTTATTCGGACAAGTCAGAAAATGAGAGAGATAGCAAACAAGGATCGTTATCATCTAATGTTGAGACGAGCACAAATAGGGCAGGTCATACTCATAGCGTGTCTAGGAAATCCAGCACAAAGGCTGAGGTAAATTTCCCTTAACCAAAAATTAAGCATGCATGATTTTGGCAAAATTGTATTTTTAGTCATGTTAGGTTTAACACTGTAGTATTTTTAATCCCAAAATTTCAACTTTTTGTCTTTTGATCCTGTACTTTAGTATTTTGTTGCAATTTAAGTCCTTTGGAACTGAAGTTGCAACAAAATTTAAAATTACAGGACTTAATTTGCTAATAAAAAATCCATCTAAATTTTATTGCATTTTCAGTCCCAAAGAACTGAAATTGCATTGAATTTTAGAATCCTATTAGGACTAAAAACGCCACTGCATCAAACCAACAGGACCCAATTTGCAATTTTGCCCATGATTTCACATCACTTACATTTGCTTACTTGTATTGGAATTTTAGCTAGGGGGACAATAAATGCAAACTTGTACAACATTATACTATACTATGTTGTCATGTGTAAAACAAATATGCCCAAAAGACAGTAGTAAATTCATTTGAATGTCTGTTTTTTCATATTTTGAATGATAGGGAAGCAATTCCACAACTTCTGCTCTGTCAAAGCTGACAAACAGACTTAACTTCTTAAAGGAACGCCGTACGCAAATCGCGAGTGAGCTACAAAACTTGGACAAAGCTCGCCAGCCTGTCATTAACAACCTTGAACAGCATAACCGTCAATTTGTAGATGAGCCCAAAGGACAACAGCCCTCGGACAACTATGGATTTAGTCATACTTTAGAAGAGCTCCCAAGTGTAGAACAGGGAAAGTCTAGAAGCTTCCTGCCCGGGGATAATAAAGCTCATTCTAAATTTCCCCCCACAACACATTCTAGATGATGAAGCATGCTCACATCGGATTTTTTTTTTCTTTTTTTTTTTTNTGTCCGGAATGAATTGAAAGTTTTGAGTGTTTCATTGTAGGTAATGATTCTTTTGTTTGGAGAATATTTTTTGTTTGTTTTACTGTAAGGTTACTTTAAAGAACCAACACGCACAATAATATATATTTTTTATTTATGCATATTTTGATGGAACTAAAATATAATTAAAAACTAAAACGTATTATCAAAATACGCTTTAATTCTTAATTATTTGTAAAACGTATTTGGGTAATACGTTTTATCAATAATAGATAAATAAAACGTATTATGAAAATACGTTTTATATTTTAAAATTAATGAAAAAAATTAATATGTAGTATGTATTTTGTATTTGGGCTTGTTTGGGCTCGTCTGAACTCGGAATTGAGTTCCGTTTTTTCCTATACATAGCTAACGAACCCCTCTATTCAATGATGCATGCATGACCAAATTATTCTTTAAATCATATTCTACAAAGCTCTTGATCTACACATTAAACGTGGTTCGCGCGACTTTGCGGTTTGGGCCCGTTCGGACTCGTCCAAGCTCGAAATTGATTTCCGCTTCTTCCTATATGTCGCCAACGAATCCATCTACGCAACCATGTTTGCCCCATCAATTTCCGGGCTAAATCTATTCCTTACGGGATAAATAATTAACAAATCACCCATTCTTTCATTTTTTCCAGCAAGTAATTGCCGTTTTCGTGGGCCCCGCAGGGTCACGTTGCATTCCGCTTTACCAAAAAAGAAGCCGGGACGTGCAGAACATTCCCGCACGATGTCATTCGAGCCATTAATCGAGTATTTTGAAGTCTTCCGAGAAGAAAATGGACAACATATATTTTTTTTTCTATTTCGTCATTACCGGTGAGCTTCATTTCATGCGGCGACTTCGGGTACCCTGTTGATCCTCGTTTAGCCTCATGAGGAATAGATTTAACTCAAAAATTGACCGGACAGTGATGGTTGTGTGGATGGGTTCGTTGACGACATATAGAAAGAAGCGGAACTCAATTTTGAGTTTGGACGAGTCCGAACGGGCCTAAAAATCAAACTCGCACGAAACACGTTTAATGTGTAGGTCAAGAGCTTTGGGAGAATATGATTTCAAGAATAATTTGGTCATGCATGCATTATTGAATAGAGGGGTTCGTTAGCTACGTATAGGAAAAAACGGAACTCAATTTCGAGCTTAGACGAGTCCTTACGGGCGTTGTTGTCGTTCGCGGTCGCGACGTTTTCTACCTCCACCAATGTTGGCAGCGGGTTGATGCCTCGCCCTGTGTGACTGGGTATTATGGGATGGGATGTAGTCCTCCTCGGATAGAACTTGACTGAACGACGCCCCTTGTGTGACCTCTTGGCCTCCAACAGTCAGAGAACTATTGGCAATGTTGTAGGATTGTTGGTCACGTAACTATAGGCAATGTTGTACGACTGTTGGAATGCGACTTGCGACCGTGGAAGGAGTGAAGGAAATGTCTTCAATATTCGCTAAAGAGTTATAAACCCCTCCAAGGCTTGAGTTTGAAAATAAAATTCAAAGTAATTAGTATGAAACACAAAAAAAAGAAAAAAAGGAATAATAGAAAAATCACAAATTTTGAACACTTACATCTCACTTCTCCCGCTCGGTAACTGTCTGATAGCCGTTGTCCTGTTGGACCACCGTGTACTTGGTAAGTCACTGATAAGTCTCACATTCCTAGTGTAAAACCAATCAATGTAACCCTCCTCAGTCTGTAGGAATTGATCCACAGGGGCATCTTGGAGGACATTTTGTTCTCTTTCATCGACTCAGCCCTTGGTAAGTTGTGAATGAAAGGCGGCCCGATCACAAAATGCCCTCCCAGTCATTCCACGACCTCTGTGGTGTGTCTCCCGTTCTTTCTCACCACTAATCATCGGATTTTGGGGGATAGACTGTTGACACCCACACTGACGGAGAACCTTATCAGACAAGTGGACTTCACGTATGTTCCAACAGAAGATCCACCCCCTATACATTCAAATATGTTGATCTTTTGTGCACTCATCCTGGATAGTACCATCTTCCGGGTACTGTTCCTAGGGCACCCAATCGAAGTTGTAGAATATTTGACAACCTTTGTTGAAGTGATATAAAAAGGGAGGATACTTCTCACCTCTATATCAAAATATTTGGCAGCCATTAAAAGGTTATCAAAGAAGATGATGCTAGTTCCTCCATACAGTAAGTTGACTTACAACATGGATATTATGAGGGAAATTGAAAACTTTAGGACTACCAAGAACACATATGGTTTTTATAGGTTGAAGAACCTTAGTAGCTTGAGAAGATTCAGAAACCTCCATTTTGAAGTGGAGAGATATTTGATCATAAGGAATGATCGACTTATTTAAAGAGAAAGTTTAGGAAGAGATAAGTATTATATTGTTGCACTCGGACGCTCGAACTCGGCAAGTTAACTCATGCTTTCTCAAAAGCACTCTCGCTAATGCTCGGCCCGCTTAACGAGGGTCAACGGGGTACCCGAAGTCGCCGCATGAAATGAAGCTCGCCGGTAATGACGGAATAGAAAAAAAAATATCTATTGTCCGTTTTCTTCCCGAAGGACTTCAAAATACTCGATTAATGGCTCGAATGACATCGTGCGGGAACGGTCTGCACGTCCCGACTTCTTTTTTGGTAAAGCGGAATGCAACGCGACCCAGCAGGGCCCACGAAAACGGCAATTACTTGCTGGAAAAAATGGAAGAATGGGTGATTTGTTAATTATTTATCCCGTAAGGAATAGATTTAGCCCGAAAATTGATCGGGAAAACATGGTTGCGTAGATGGGTTCGTTGGCGACATATAGGAAGAAGCAGAAATCAATTTCGAGCTTGGACGAGTCCGAACGGGCCCAAACTGCAAAGTCGCGCGAACCACGTTTAATGTGTAGGTCAAGAGCTTTGAAGAATATGATTTCAAGAAGAATTTGGTCATGCATGCATCATTAAATAGAGGGGTTCGTTAGCTACGTATAGGAAAAAACAGAACTCAATTCCGAGTTCAGATGAGCCCAAACAAGCCCAAAACACAAAATACATACTACATATTAATTTTTTTTCATTAATTTTAAAATATAAAACGTATTTTCAAAATATGTTTATTTATTTATTATTTATAAAACGTATTATCTAAATACGTTTTATATATTTTTGTAATTGTTTAAAAAAATAATTTTAAAACGTATTAACAAAATACGTTTTTAAAAAAAAATTAAATAAAAAAACGTATTTTAAAAATACGTGTTTTTTATTTTTGTCAACAAAATTTTTTTTCTTTCTATTTTTGTCCAGTTATTTAATTTATTTTTTATTTATATAAATTACCCCTATTTTTTAATATGTTGTGCAAGTATGATTTACACGATGCTGATGGGACTTATTAATATGAAACAACATTTAATGTATTTATTTATTTAGAGGGTAATTATTTTATTTTATTTTTTGTATGAATTTTTAGCAGTTTGAAATCCTTTATATTATTAGCAACCTGCATTTGTACTGAGATGAAGAAGTTGATACTAATTAGATATTTTTGAACTGCTAGAAAATTATCAAATTTCAACCAGATAATATTTCAATAGGATTTCAATGAATATAACACAAGAAAAATAATTCCAACATTTTTTCTTTCGGAACGATAGGAATTCTCATAAATATGAAACCAAATGTTCTAGAGTTACAATCGAAGAGGTAACTAGCTCATGAGAACCACAAGGAAATATGTGGCCTAGATGACAACTAAAAAATAACAAGAAAACACTACCAATCAGTCTAGAAGGTAAAGACAAATACATCCATTTGAAACCTTTACATTCCAGTACAAATCGGACAAGCAAATGACCAATCCACAGAAAACATGAACAACATCAAAGACAAACACTAATGCAGTCAACTGACCAGAGGACCTAAGCTCCATTTGTGCATGTTCCCTTGCATTCAGAGTCAAGTAGTAGAAGAGTTGCAGCCACTGAATTCAAGCCAGTCTGCCATTGCAAGTTTGACAACTTCAGCTTCTGATCTCCAGACTTTTTGAAATAGCCATGGGTTACTTGTCTTCCAGATCCACCACAAAATGTATGTGGATAATTAAATTCTGTGTTCTTCAATCTCCTTCCTATCCATAGAGGCAATCCACCACCACCAGTCCCTGAAACTTTGAGTGTCATTCAACGAGTCTCCTCAGTCTAAAGGTGCAAGCATTCTAACCATCTGTGACCTTTGACATTGGAAAAAGATATGCTCTACTGTCTTTAGAGCTTCCCCACAACAATGACACATCTGATCAACCTGAAGGCCTCTTTTGTAAAGATTGACACCTAAAGGTACAGAGTTAGAAAAGAATTTCCAAATAAGGTGTTTAATTTTCCCTTTTATCCTCAGCTTCCAGCACCTCTCCCTAGCTGCTTTGTCCTTCTTTGCAGAGTTACTGCCCTCTGCTCTGTCTATCTTCAAAGTTTTTTGCAGCATCAAGTGGGTGTATGCCTTGGCTACTGAGAATTGGTCTCTCTATTTTCCATTCCAGCACCATCTATCTTTCCTCTCAGGGTGTAAGTTTTGATGCTCATTATTGTTGTGGTCTCAGACTCTGTAAAAACCTCTTGATTCCAGGATCTCCCCCCTACATTCAATAATTCAGACACTTTTGTAACTGTGTTTGTATGGCCTATTATCCCTTTTGGAATGCCAAATTGTAGTCCAGGTATCCAAGAATCTTGCCAGATTCTGGTGTTCTTCCCATCAGCCACCTCCATTCTAAATTGATCTTGGTAGGTCTTTTTCACCTTCATCCAGCTGTTCCACATCCATGAAGAGCTACGGGACATGTGTGCTTCAAAAATGGTTCCTTTGGGGAAGTACTTCTCTTTGAGGATTTGACTGACCACCAGATTGGGGTGTGTACCCACTCTCCATATTGGTTTGATAATCATTGACTCATTAAATAGTTGCACATCTTGAAAATCCAAACCTCCCCAGCTCTTAGGT